ATAAATCCCTTTAAGATCCGACATGGTCTCTGATGCCCCTGTACCAATTTCCACAAGTCACTGTGTCTTACCTATTTGTCGCAAATGACCAGCAAACTTTACAGAATCTCTTTTGACCCACAGTTGTGAGTTTATTAGGGAAACTGGCGGCAGGGGTAAGTCAAAGGATATCACACTGTGAAAGTCCAGGTTTAGTGAACAGCAGTCCCAAGGAAGGTTAATAGCAAAATATAATTCCTCCATGAGCTGAGACAGCTGTTCTGTCAGCAGCAAGACGCAATGTGTCGGTTAATCAAGGTAGCTTCTCAGTCAACAGCCAGACATCTGGTATAGGAACTTCTGGCTTCTAAGGCTGCACACGGCCTTTTCTGCTTCTTCATCTCTGGTGTAGATTTCTGTCTCAGGGACTCGCTTGTCTGGCTCTGCCAGTCTAAGCCTTGCAAGTCTCCCCACAGTCTGCTTGGTTCTTTGTCCTACGTTCACCGCTGTTTGTAATATTTCAGGATGCTGACAGATTGAGGAAGAACCCCCTATCTGCAGCTGAGGCAGCTCGAGACCAGGCCCCTAACAGGGGCGAAGGCAGTGGATACAAACACTTTTCCAAAAATGTTCTAACACCACATTGTCAATAGTTGTAGTTATTATTATGTACTGTTGAGTTGTAACTGACTCTATGGTTTTCAGAGGCTATAAATGACATGAGAGCAGATATCCCAGCTTTCTTCCTCAGAGGAGCTGGATTGGAACTGTTTGCTTTTGGATAACAGGACAATTGCTTTAACGTTAGGCCAGTTAGAGCTCCCTCAGTATCTATTGTTGTTGTTGTTAAGTGCCGTCGAGTCATAGACAACTCATAGTGACCCTATGAAAAAAAGACCTGAACACTTGTATAACTTTCATTGTTTCCCTAAGTTCATAGAGTTTCTGGAGGCAAGCTATTTCGGAAGTGGATGCCACTCCTGCTTCCAAGCTTGTTTTAATCTTGGATCTCTACCAAACCTGCCCACCATAGGTAACCATTATCACATTTGACACATCAGTGTCACAATGTTTAGCATCACAGCAACAATGAGTTACCCTTCCACAGCAAATGGGCAGACCAGTGCTGTACCACTTAGAAGACTGTTTAACAAAAACAATTAAAACCAGGCCTGAGGGCCACAGATTAAAATCACCCACCTTTGGCTTGGTAGCATAACTTTCTATCCACTAGGCCAACAGAGCTCTATGACTATATAAATATACACATTTATATATCTACACACAAATACATATATATATATAGGTATCTATAGGACTATATATATAAGTATATATATTTATATATCTACATATAAATAGGTACACATATGACTATATATTTAGTTATAGTTCAGAATATTATTTAAATAAGGTTAAAAATAGTAACTTAGTATGAATAACTTCATTTAATTTTTAGTTTAAATTTATTTTGTCTTAATATGGATTTTTTAAGCTTTTTTTTCTCCTAATTTCTTTTAACTCTGCATCTTTCTTTACTTGTTTCTACCCATAAAGTGTGACACCATATGATTATCAAAATAATAATTTCCCAAATGAAAATAGCATCTTTCAACATTGGGCTTTCAATAAAGAAAAAACAGACTTCTTCAATTTTTGGCTGACCAACCACTCTTCATATCATAAAGATAACTCAGAAGGTAACTGTTTCTTATTTTTTTAATAAAACTACTAATGTTAGTATTTTAATAAAAGCAACAGACATTTTTGCAATCTATAAAAACTGTACTTAATATACTGTTAATTTTTATTTGGGAGAAAATTGGTTGAAAATATACAATTTTCTAACAAATACTCCTTTTAATAAATGAACAACAGTATTTGTAGTCAATCTTAAAATCTAACAGAGGGTGCAGTCTTAAAATCTAACAAAGGGTCAGCTCTGAGTTGCTTCAGACTCTGTGACACTGGGTAGCAATGAAGAGATCACAATGAATGATTTTCAGTGGCAAAAATGGATTGATTTCCTTACTCTCACTTGTGTTGAACTTTTTGATTTATTTTTTATACTCAAATAAAATGCAAAATGTCATATATGTATAAAATAAAAAATAAAATTAAGGCTCTTGTTTATATTTGTCTGGTTTCTGTCTCTTTCTCATCATATATAAATATAGATATATATGTAGATAAAATAAATATTTAGATAATTTAAAAATCAAATTGAATATTGATTTCTCATAATTTCCTTAGATCTGTAGATCATCATGCTTTATCTGGAAACTCTAAGGACTTTGATAAATGTCAGTAGTAATAGAGGGGCTTCAGGCGTTTTGTTCACAGGGTCGCTATGAGTTGTAGTCGCCTTGAAAACAGTCACAGCACAACAACATGCAGATCTTTGGTTCAGTTCCTAGTAGGTGAGATCATGACTTAATATCACAGTGAAGTATCTTGGTTCGCTGGTTATTGTTTTCTGTTGAGGCAGAACTGACGCATAGCTGACCCACCGCTTTGCTTAGGCAATAATTAGCATGGGAAGAGATTGTCCTTTCTTCTTCCTCAGACCAACTGGTGGATTTGAACTACATGCCTTTGGAATTGCAGAGCAGTTTCTTACCACTAGGGCACAAGAATTCCAGATTTTATTTTATTTCTGCTGTTAATTTTTTGTGTGACCTTACTTTCTTAAACCTCATTTTCTTAAAATGTGGAAATCTGATTGTTTCAAAGCTTCCTCTCAAATACCATGTTTGAGGATCTTCCTAGAACTTTAAGGAAAAGCGAGATAAGATGATCAAGATCTCTTAAGGGAAGGATTTGAGAGATATACTATGCTTTCACCATACCTATTCAGTCTCTATGCTGAGCAAGTAATTCATGAAGCTGGACTCTATGAAGAAGAATCATCAAGATTGGGGAGAGACTTATCTCCAACATGTGTTATGCAGATGACACACCCTTGCTTGCTGAAAGTGAGGAGGATATAATATTCTTGCTGCAGACGAAGACAACTGCAGCCTTTGATATAGATTACATATCAACATCAAGAAAACACAGGTCCTCATGATGGGGCCAAAAGTCAACATGTTAGGTGGTGAAAGAATTAAAGCTATCTGATTTCATCTTGCCATAGTCAGATCAGAACTTGAGCAAATCTGCTGTCAGGGACGGCTCTAAAATACTGAGGAGCAATGATGTCAGTTTGAAGACTGAGGTGCACCTGATTCAGGCCACAGTCTTTTCAGTAATCTGCTACATATCAGGGAGCTTGACCATGAATGAGGATGACAGAAAGAACCGATGCCTTTGAGTTATGGTACTGGAGAAGAGTACTGAATATCCCGTGGACTGTCAAAAGAATGAACAGATATGCCTTAGTGAAATTGCAGCTAGGTTCTTCCTAGATGCAAAAATGGCTAAGCTTTCTCACTCATACTTTAGGCATGTAGCTAGGTGAAGTTATTCCTTGAAAAGGGACATGATGGTTGGAAAGATGGAGGGTCAGTGAAGGACAGGACGACCTCTGACAAGATAGAAAGACACACTGACTTTAGCCATGCTCTCTGGTATGTCAGAGTTTATAAAAATGGCACAGGATAGGGAAGAACTCAGGTCTGCGGGTTATAGAGTTGCTACTAGAAATAGTGACACCTAACAATAACAACAGAGAGCATTATTTAAAATAAATACTCATAAAGTTAGTTATCGGCTTCCAAATGGATATGAGAAGGAAAAGGATAGTAATCGATTTAGAACAGACCTGACGTCACTACTCCTTTAGGGCCATTTGTGAATAACACCACCGTGGGAATTGAGGACTTTGCTGGCCATTAGATCCTCAGATCTGATCCAGGAGTGAACACTGGCTGACCAGTGAACGTGGTGCCTCAGCTGGTTTTCGGATAATGCTGAATACAAACTCATCTATTTTTTTATCTCTAATGATTTTATTGTAAAAATACATCTTGGAAGTTTTTCTACTTAGCTGGCCTTCCAATGAGTGTTGCTGTTAGGTGCCAATGAGTTGGTTCCAACTCAGAGCAGCCTTGTTTAAAAAAGGACAAAACTCTGCTCATTCCAATCAAATCAGACCTCTGCTTTCTGCATTGCCTTTTAAATATTATCCTAAGATTGCTTTGTCAAGTCTTTCAGAAGTAATGGGTCCCAGTGGTGGAATGTTTTGATTCTGAAGAAGAAAAATGCTGTCGAAATGAGGTGTGGGCATTTTAAAATGCAGATACTGACTTCTGTTATTACCAAAACATGATATAATTTCTAGTGAGGATTAGGAATCAGAGGTAGCATTGTTGAGTATTTTTTTAAAAAAAATAAAATTAAAAAGGCTTTGTAACATTTTTATTTTTAAGAGTATTTCTTATAAAAAAAGAATATTTTTTTTGGCATTCTTACATGTTATTTCATGCCCCATAATTCTACCTACGAGGTTAGAGTCATTGGGAATAGAAGTTCTAAATGCGAAGCATAATTGCTGAGCATGTGAAGCATTTGGTTGCCCAAATCATTAGAGCTGTGATACAGAGTGTTCACCACTGAGGACTGTTTTCATCATGTTGCTATGTGCCTGAAATCTATTCACACACTTGGTGAGGATCCCATAGGAAGGGGTAGACTGTCTCCCGGGATTTCTGACGCAGTCATTGCCATGGGAAGAGACTGCCTTGCATTCCGTCCTGTGGAGGGGCTGCAGCGTTCCAACTCCTAACCTTTTCGCTCGCCGCTGAAGCCTTAACCACGGTGCTATCAGAGCTCCTTGGTTTTCCCTTTGCTATTTTATGTGGTCTATTAATAGAGAGAATGCATTGGCAATGGGAAGAGAGAGAGAATTAGGTGAAGCTGCATTAAACTTCGGCAACAATATGTAATTTTATTTCAAATTAAAGCACTATATTAAAATAATCCTCATAAATTTTCAATCTAGAAAATCTAGACCCGTGTTTCCTACCTCTCGACACATATTTTATTCATCTGGAGAACTTGGTAGGGGGAAAAGGAGAGCAAAAAAAAAAAGGAAAAATGCCCATGCCTGATTCTTATTCTCAGAGTCAGGTTTAATTGGTTTGGGGTCAGGCCCAGACACTGACAGTTTTAAAGAGCGCCTTCAGATAATTCCAGTGTGCAGCCAGGTTGAAAATCACTGATCTAAACCAAGTGATTTATTTAAAGCAGGCATAATGAGGTGGGTGACTAAGAAACTCTTGCTCATTTTGTAGCTTTCCAGAGGCAGGTGTCCCAGGGTACACATTTGCTGTGCCTCTCATTGGTGCTCTTTTATCTGGCAGTGTTCCCTTTGCCCTCACCCATTACTAGGCAGGCAGGCTTGAGGAGAGAATAAATGTGCCTCCCAGGTTTCCTCTGTGTTACTTTCTTTAAATTGATAGAAAATCTCAGCAGGAGGGAAGATAGTGAGCTGAGAATTGAACCAGAGAAGGAAATAAAATTTGCATCCATTTCAAGGTTTCACTACAAAATAAAATGTTGCCTTCCTCCATTAGTGTATCTCATTAAGTTTTGACTATATGCTCAAATAAGATTACCATAAAAATATTTTAACACTGAGGCATCCGTAAAGAAATTCTGATAAATTGTTTCTGCCTAAAGAGTTTCAACACAGAACAGAACTTTAGGTTTCTAAACTGTTTATCTCTTTGCCTATTTAAGTGCCTTTATTGACCTTTTGTTAATTTACTTTTTAAGCTGTAGGAACTTCAAATACAGATTTCCACAGTATTACTGATGCTGATGTTGATTCTCCTGCTATTGAAAAGATAAAGGTAAACAGTTTTGGTGAAAGAAATGTATCAGATGGAGATGTAGATGGAGACAATAGCCAGACGTCTGCTGATTCCTGCATACCACTTGAGAGCAAGAATACTTTCTCAAGTATAGGATTAGAAGAACTTTCCACCAAGGCGAAAATAACTCAAGACATCAAAGAATCCTTGGATTTTAGTAATCTGCATGAGAAGCCAAATTCACAAGATTCTAAAATGAGCAAGTCACCACTGGTAAGTTCCCATTATATATGTCACATAAATTTTGTAAGAAATTTATGAAAATGTCATATGGACACGATATACTATTCAATATTACCTGTCATTGAAGGTGTGATAACTTCATATTGTCATGCCATAGTGGAAAAGTGACTCATACAGGAAAGACTCTTAATGACTTACAGCACAAATTCTAATATGGTAAATGCCACTGTAACAAATGACTTTCTGTGACAAATAATACTTCAAAGCCCACCTCATGAACCACAGTAAGAGAGCTGTTACTTTTCTAAATGAAATTCATTTTTATGAATAATTTAGCATAATCAATCCACTTTCTATCCTTTTACTATAACATAGTCTCTGGTTAAGTAGAATACATGCTTATCTGTAGGTAGGACCACTTTCTACTGGTTAATTTAGTTAAAAGCATATAATTCTTTCTCAGACATGGTAAGCATTTCTGTTTTATTCTCAGTGGAAAATATATTCATACCAGCTTATTATTTCCCTTTTTAAAAAAATTAACTTTGTTGAATCTGTTATACAGACAATAAATCTTAACTAATCATAATTATTAGTAACACAAAGTTTCCCAATTTTTAAATTATTCATGTACATTTTCCCCCACCTCCTAATTTCCCCTATAAGGCTATCAGTTGCCTTATAGATGGTCTAATTGGGTGATCAAAGCATAGGGATAAATAGTTGCTGCCATTTCTGTTTGGCAGATTAGCTTGACCTTTTTTTAAAAAAAAAATATACATATATTGGCTTGCTTGTAAAGTTTATGTACATTGTTTTTAACATTAGTCTTCATTCACAAGGCTTTTAGTATAATCATTTCTATCCATTATATTTTCTAAAATTAACCAGCATTGGGCTATGACAATTTGGGGTCACATCTTTTATCTGTGTGGGCTGAGAATTTGGAACTGAGATTTCTACAGAAAGCTTAGACCACTAAAAGTCTAAGAAGAAATAATGTACCTCTTGCTCCAGGTTGTTGTACATGTAATGTCCAGGTATATATTCCTTTTAAATAGTTTTTTCCTCCATCTGTTCCAGTGCAGTGGTCATTGGGGGAGGTGAGGTGGGTAAATGTGCAACAATGAATGAATAATAAAAAAAAAAAGAAAGTGAACCATGGGAGGGGGAAAGTAAGGGAACGGTAAGATGTGCAATAATGAATGCATGAAAATCTAACTTTGTAGACATTCGTTAAAATCACAATTAAAATAAAATTTTATTTTTTAAAGAATAAATAAATTTTTGAAAGTCTAAGGAGCTCTGGTAGCATAAGATGTTATGTGCTGGACTGCTAAACAAGACATCTGCA